TTGACCATTATCATAAAGGGGGCTTATTACCCGCTTGGTGTTTACAATTAAGATTATTAAAGGTGGTGGTGGTGGTGGTGGTGGTGGTGGTGGTCGTCGTCGTCGTCGTAGTAGTAGTAGTAGGCGTCGTAGTAGTAGTAGTAGTAGTAGTAGCAGTAGTAGTAGCAGTAGCAGTAGCAGTAGCAGTAGCAGTAGTAGTAGTAGTAGTGGTGGTAGTAGCAGCAGCAGCAGCAGTGGTAGCAGCAGCAGCAGCAGCAGCAGAAGCAGCAGCAGTAGCAGCAGCAGTAGCAGCAGCAGTAGCAGCAGCAGTAGCCGCCGCCCCCCCCCCATTACGTTTTGCTTGTATTCATTAGTAGGACGATAGGTCGGATTTGGGAGAGGTGGGGGGGTTCCGTACAAGCAGCGCGCATCCTCTAACCAACAGTTATCCCTAACCCTATAAGTTTTGCTTAACACAAGTTTCTCGACCCCCATAAGTTTTGTCTCACGGGAGACGTGTTCATGTTGCGCTTAGGCGTGCAGGTCGGCAGGTTTGCACGGGGACGAAGCGGATGTGAAAATGCCCGATGAAAGATGGCAACGGCTACTACTTGGATACTGCCCCCACTCATTAACAGTTGCGGAATATTTCGAACGTAACCATACATAGGCCCCCTGAAACATGGCCCTAGAGTACACTGTTCATAGGCGGGGGCAGGACCCAAACTGTTACCACCACCGCGGCTGCTAGGCACCTGGTTGGACTTCATAATCAATGTAAAACGTAGTGGTGCCAAGAAGGGGGAGGGGGGATGGGGGCGGCGGCGGCGGCTGCTGTTGCTGCTGCTGCTGCTGCTGCTGCTGCGGCTGCTGCTGCTGCTGGTAGTAGTAGTAGTAATAATAGTAGTAGTACTACTACTACTACTACTACTACTACGACTGCTACTACCACTGCTTCTGTGATTATCATCCGAAAAAACATGAGGGTCTGCGGGCCAACTGCCTCAGCCATTCGCCAAGCCCAGCCTGGGTCGTCGTCGAAGACGAGACTGCGAACGTTGTCACTGGCAATGCTCACCTGGCACTTTCTTTTTGTGAGCTGTATGTACATATGGTACTTTCCCATAATAGGGGGACCCCAATATAGAACCCAAAATACTTAGAGTCCTGGTTATAAGGACACCCGAAATGGTGCCCCTAATTTTGGGAAACCCCCATATAAGATGAGACCCATGGAAGCAGCTGTGGAGCCGTACACACTGCCACCATCAAGACCGTCAAATATAGACAAGACTCGCGCACTGCTCCATGACCTCCGCTGTGATATCGACAAGTATCTGTGTCGTTGACCTGGGCTCTCTTCGGCCACGTGTGCATCGCTGGACTTTGCATCTCATTCTAGTCTAAACTCGAAGTAGCCCCCTTAAAGTCCCCGAAAGCAGTCCCTATAACCCCCTGTATAACTCCCCTTCAAAGAGTTTAGACTATAGCTCATGTAATGGATTCTTTTTTCCCCACTAAGCCCAAGCAAGTAACTGAGGTGAGGGCGGCTTGGCTCAGAGTATTGGGCAAGAGGTCCAACAAGTAGCCTGACGACCCAATCTATGTGGGTAGCTCCCAAAATTAGAGTCCCTTTTCGTTACCCCTAAGTAACAGGTCCATCAACGAAAGGGGCCCATAATTTTGAGAATTACCCATGTAACGGTTCCACATGGTTGCGCGCCGATCACCAAGCCTAAGCCTGACTGCTGCCGGGGGACTCACTGCATCGCCCAAGGCATACAACAGCTTCATGGCACAGCATGCCCAACACTTTGAGCACAGTTACACAGAGCACCAATTGCAATGAGGAACACCCTCGATGCCGAGAATGCTACAACCCGCAGCGCATCACAGTTTTAAAAGGTCATCGAACAGCAACACTGACGCCTCATCGTCACTGTTTTGCCAGAACCCTTTTTTGGCAGAACACTGTCTTCAGAGATGAGATCCCTTGGAAGCGGACACGCTACCGCGTGAAGCACACCTTCAGCATCTCTGAAGGACAGCTTGTGCCTGTGCAGCCAGTTTCTGGAGCACAAGCGCTGGTCGTCTTTAAAAGTTGAGGTACTTGTGTACAGCCCATCATGAACAGTTGGATGCCCAACATGTGCAAAATGGCTCCTAATCTGGTGCTTGCGCCCTGTCGAAATCTCGACAGAAAGCTTGCTAAGTGACACATTGTGCCAAAACCTCTCCAAGACCTTCAGTCTCGTGATGCTCGACTTCCCTCGGCCTCCGGATGTGGTGGGCTGCTTAACGCCTTCCCTCTGCTGCGCATGGACTGCACTCAGTGACTCAGGGATCCAGCCATGGCAGAGCACCCTGTACTCCCGGCATACCTCACCAGCGTAGAGCTGCACCTGCAAATCGTACCACGCTTGATAAGTTTCAGCCACGAGGATCAAGCCTGAACTGGGCACATCCAGACGATGTAGAAAGCCGCAGTTGTGCTGGGCATCTCTAAAAATTGGCCTCGCTCCCAGGGTGGCCTGCACGAAGTCTACCAGTTGGAGCTGGGTGACCTTGGTATGCTGCCCATACACCTCCCAGTTGGGCGGCTTGTACATCACAGCTCGATCCACAAAGTACTCCCAGAGAAGCGGCTGGCCTCACGGGTCTTGAAAACACGATTTCAAGAGGCACACCAACTGCGGGAAAGGCCTGCCGGATTCGACTGAACAGGCCGTGCTCGGCGGACATCTTCAACTGCTGCAGCGACATCATCCATGAGGCGCCCGGCTTGCCGCATTGCTGACCGCGTCAGATGAAGAAATTCCTCCGGCAAGAAGTTGCAGAGCCAGGATGCCCTCACCACGGCCAAGACCTCAGCTCATGCCGCGTCATGACAGACAACATCCCAAAACACAGCGGTAGGCAAAATAAGGCCGAAATGAGCAAGAATCGTAGAGACCCTCCTCCACGAAAGAAAGTCGAGTGGAATACAGGAGCTTCTTGGCCGATTCCTCGCTGCCACAATCCGAGTCGCACTGGAATAGCCAGCATCCCTGAACCCTAACATGCAAGGAATTCCTTTCAATTGTTGGTGCAATCCTCCTTGTCGTCCCTTGATATCGTTGCTTTTGGAGAGCTAATTTGACTACCTTTTACCCCACACGCAGCTGCCACGACGTAGCTCAATCTAACTCGTGAGGCAGAGGCTGCTGCTGCTGCTGCTGCTGCTGCTGCTGCTGCCGCCGTAAAATCGTTCTTTCCTGGTTGGCATCATTGTGGCTTACGGCTACTCTTTACCTCACTTCTACAACATTGCTGCATGTCACAAGCTTACCCGAAAGCCCAGTCCTGCACCAGCCTCAGCAGCTGGGGGTGCTGGCTGAGCGATAGCTCAGCCAACTGCCTGGGGTCGAAGACCATTCGATGGGAGAGAACCCGCCTTAGACTCTCTGCTTGTCAAGGAAAACCCCCTGTATGATTCTTATTATATGTGGATCATTATAGAGACCCCACACCGCGGGGTTACAAGAGAGACCCTTTTTTGGACCATACCCACTCGATTCAGGATGCCCGGGGCTGTGTTCTCACGGAATATTCTTTGAGTGCAAGAGGCCGACACAGAGCGCTAAACGCTGCAGGCACTTCGTGCATGATACAGGAATGGATTGTTCCGTGAATTAATCTCAGGACCGCAGCCACCACATTTATCATTCGCTGTCATGTTCCCAATACATCCCCTAGGAGTTGATGGCGCATCTGCTTTGTGCACCTGGAAAATGTTCAACTTGCACGCTCCCAGGCTACAGCTCCACCTAGAGCTGTTGAGCCAAGCGTCGTTGCAATTGCATTTGACATGCCCGGACTGTACACTCCCAGCATGGCTGCCGACCAGACGAATGTGACAATATCATCAGCCACCCACTTCGAAGACCTAAGGCTGCTGCAAGCCTCATGATAAGCACCTTCGATGACATCAGCGTCAGAAATTCCAAGCTCCGCCAATGCCCACAGGTACTGCAGCGGACTTCGCTGGTGCTCCGACTCCAGGAGAAAAAATTGTCCAAGATCCCACAGCTCTGAGCTGGCACAAGCAGTGATTAGTGAGTCACAGGCAACTAAGTCAGGCTGAAGCCTTTCCTTTTGGAAGCTTTGCCAAATTAACAAAGCATGGGGCCACCTCCCAGCATTGAGGCAGGAGCTCAAGACTGATGCACATGTTCTTGGGTCCGGTGCCAAAGACATACCTCGCAAATCCGTCAACGACTCCAGGACCCGTTGCCACTCCCCAGCAGCTTCAAGAGCACCTGTTGCGCATGTGGTTGGAGGGCTGGCTGTCTTATGTGACTTGCAATCGATCAAACGAATCGCAAAAACACAAACTCTGCAAGTAGTATGAGCAGGCTGGCTACTGGCAAACAACGCCTGTGCAGCCACGATCCAAAACCTTCTAGGGAACCTGGATGAGAAGATTTAACAACCAAGCATATCGCCTTGCCCTGAAATTTCAAGTCGTTTGCGGTGCTGGTCTCGTTCCGAGGGCTTCTTTACAGCCACAGTAACGACATCCTGTAGATGAGAACAAAGCGAACAAATGAGGAACTCCGCTGCATTTCACGATTAATGTTACAACCATGCTGCTGATCAAGGAGTTGAAGGCCACCACATCAACATTCAGCCGTCTTTGTCGAACTGAAGAAGATAGCCATGAGGCTATCTGCCACTGCGAAGATTTCTTGCACGCACTCATGCCAGCAGACAACAAAGCTAGGTCGGCGCATGACCCGTACAGGCTAAGAACACACAAAGCCCATTGCCATTGCCCGGATAAAGTGCAAGCCTTCATGATGGCTGTGCCAATCATAACATCTGTGGTGAAGCCAGCCTTTCTCATCCCCATCAGAAGCTTGACCCCCTCCAGCCAGCGGCGTGCTTTCGTGCAGGTACTGATGAGCGTGTTAAATGTGATTGCGTCTGCCTGCAGCTCGATTTGTGACAACTCGCAAAGGAATTGCAACGCAAACTCCCACTGCCCGCTTCTTTCACACGCTGCCAGGACTGAGTTGTAGGTGACTACGCTCACTTTGCAACGCCGTATCTGCAGATGTGCCAGCAATTGAAGACTTCTTTCCCATAGCCCTTCATTTGCCAGGGCAGTCAAAGCCGCGTTGTAACTTCTCACATCTGCTTCCTGACAGCAAGTGAGGGCAACAGCCGCGTGCCAAAGGCTACCTGCAGCACACGAGCTGATGGCGATGTTGCGCACAACGAGGTTTGTCCCAATGCCCTCTCTACAGCAAAGCTGGAAGATGGTCAAGGCATACGGCCACTGTTCTGCCCTCTGACAGGCCTTCATGACACTTGCTACTGCACGCGCACTCTTCTCCAAGGTGTTGGAAGGGAAAGTCTCAAAGCAGTGCAAAGCCAACTGCCACTGGGCACCTTCTGACAGAGCATTCAGAACGGTGTTGTACGTGATTTCGTCAACATATTGCTTGGATGCCTCATAAAATAGCTGGCATGCCTGTTGCCACTCGCCGGCCGCTGCGCAAACGCTGAGAACTCCATTCAGAATGACCACATTCCTCTCCACGGTTCTGCTCTCCATGTCGATGAGTACTTGCAAAGCATCCTTCCACTGGGCGGCTCCGCGAAGTGCACTGATCACGCTGCTATACGCATACAGATTTTCCGGGACCTTCTGCAATCTCATGATTTTCAACAAAGCGCAGGCACGCTGCCACTGCGACACCCTTGAACAGGCGTTGATTGCAGCAACGAAAACATGCGCGCTACTTGTATAAGCCTGTCTTACATGTTGCCAAAGCAACTGCAAGGCCACTTGCCACTGCTGCCCATTTCCACATGCCGTGATGGCAGCACTGCATGTATCGAAGGGTATGGGGCGCCGGCGCTGGGCCAACGAAAGAGCATGCTGCCAGCACGTGCTTCTACCGAGCTCCTTGACAGCCTGGGTAAATTGAGACACTTTGCAAACTGCCGGCCTGAACAAGCTGAACACACGCCCGCCCAAACATGACTGGCAAAAACTCTAGCTTGCACTTGCCCAAGAAGCTGTCGTGAGGTGAGCAGATGGCTGCCTTGGAACAATCCATGCCCACAAAGGTGCTGCCATACTTTTCCAGTGGATAACTGCTTGCTGCTTGCTGCCGTACAGGCTCCATATCAGCAGAGACAAGCTAGTCTTATCGACGCGGAGCTGCCTTAGCCAGAGTACCTCTATGTTCCTGTCAAAGCTGGATTTCGAAAAAGGATGCCGCACAGAAAAGAGCCATCCATTCACTCAGTTTGACTAAAGTCTCGGGTTGGGCTTGCGCTCATCTGCCAAGATACGCTGCTTTGCCTGGACCCCGTGCAAACGGCATGAAAAGCAGCAGCGAGGCATCAAGCAGTGACCACCTTCATAGCTGGGACACTAGAGGCAAGTGGCTGAGCGGGTTGAGCCTAGAAATGCGGCAGGAGAAAACAAAAAAAACAAGCCCAGGCTGGCAGCATGTCACTGTCACCTGTCATCAAATGTGGCTGCAGCACAGTGGGCTTACCACGAGGCTCAACAAGTCCACCTCAGAAAACGGCTTGGCGTCCACTACATGCAGTGCAAGCTCGAGCGCAATACTGCTGCACTATCAGATTTGCAGCAGGTCAAGGTTGTGGCACTGAGGCATGAGCATTCGACCAGAAGTATGTAAAGAAACGGAGGCCGTTCTTGTAGATCAGCCATATGTTCTCAGGACGTCCACAAAGCATCCAGGTTTCACATGAAGTTGATGTCTGAGGTGCTCGCGTAAATGGCAAAGAGAATGCTGAAGCCGCAGGTTAGGACCTCACACGGAGCTGTTGGGAGGAGGGTGACCAAGCTCACAGAAACTTGGGATAAGCAGAAGCTTGTTGCTGTGAGGCTCTAGGTTGCAGGCCAAATAAACAAAGCTGCCGCCAAAGTCGTCCGCAGCCATTAGGGCCCTCAGGAAGATTCATTTCTAGAAATCCCATAGAGGGCGCTAGGGCCAAAGTTAAAGGGGCCGGCAAGGACAGCTGTACAGCGCGGAAAGGGAAGGCCTCGTCTGATCAGTGTTGAAGGGTCCAATGTGTTACTGGCTATGAATCTGAACAAATCTATGACCTGGCCTCCTGACGGATGAGCACGCCGCCCGCAGCTGGAAATTCAAAGAGTATCCTTCAGACGTTCTCTTCTCAGACAAATTCCCAGCCGCTATTGCCCTGCAAGGTCATGTTTTCTTCATTGCTCGCTTCACAGCTTCCTTTTCTTTAGTGAAGCTCAGGCTATACCTCTCACCATGAACATGTTGGAATCTTGCAGTCCTGCTGTGCACGAAGCTATTCACATTGGGGTTGATGGTGTTCAACTCAATCATAAATGCACCTGAGGCGTTCAAAAAATCCACGACAGTGTTTTCTTCCGTCCTTGCCATCATGCCAGTGCTAGGGCTGCTGGCTGCTCTTTCTTTCTTCCATTTGGGGGGCCCCCAGCAATTTAACAGTGGCTACCTTCACATCCATCAGCCCCTGCCCGAGTTGGAAGCACTGCCGTGAGGAGCGTACACAATTGCAATCGCTGCTGGGTTGTTCTTGCAAGTACAATAGGGCACGCGATGCATCGCACGCCAGCACTGGAAACACACCCGATGGACGCGACGCACCTCTAAAAACCTTGGACTACGCGTGCCTGGCGCGACGTGGCTGACCGGCTTTCAAGAAGGATCTCCCTCCTCTCTTCTTCTTTTTCAGGCGAGACGTTCCCTCCAAGGAGGAAGGTCAGCACCATGCCCTGAGCTCAGCGATGCTCGCGTCTCCCTGTGGTAGATGCTTGGGCGCGTGTGGCTTTGATGCAAGTCTCCCCTTGGACAATAACTGAAAAAAGCCCCCGCCATACTTCTTCTTGTGTTGTATTATTATTCTTGTTTGTCTTCCTCGGAAGGCTTGTTTGCTTGCTTGCTTGCGAAGGCTCTTTTCTTCTATGCATCGCACGCAACCCAATGGATCACATGCGATTTCAGCCTCTCTGTCTCTTCTCAAGTACACCTCCTGCCCCAGGAGGTTCGGGCCTTCTTGGCCGGATACAAGACACAGCGCACGATCTTCTTCTTAAGGCTCCAAAGCGGGTACTGAGTCAACGTCTCGAGCCCTCAAGTGCGCATGGCTGAACGTGGCGACCACCGAACGCGGTTGCCAACGAAAGGTTCAGCCATTCACCACAACAGAGAAAAGCGAGGGCTGGATTTCTCATATCTCTCTCACCGCCCCTTGTTTTGTTCATTTTTGTTCGCTCTCCGTTGAAACTTCAGGATCAAGAACATGACAACACAGATCTGGAATGCCCTGGAAAAGCTCAATAATGTGTGTAATGCAGCACATCGAAAGGGGCTAACTGAGACCCCGGAGCCACAGCAAATGGCACAACGCGCAGGTCGCATCACCATGTAAGCCAAGGACGTGTGCGAAAGTCCAACCATTTCCAGTACTCCAACTCCCGCATCCTGGGCACACACACACTTTATGCTTGGAGTGCTCTTCCCCGGGTACAGCTTACTCGAGCTGGCCTGGTCTGCGCGCCAGTGAGGTTCAGCGCTAGGTCGAGCACAAATCCATCTCCAGGGTAGACGGCATACCTGCCAGGCCAGTCCTTCCCAGCTTCCCAGGGCCACTTAAGCAACAAAACAATAAGACCTCCCCTGGCTTTGGGGATGCGGGGATGGCCTGCCCACAAACTCCCGCTGCTCAGTTACATTAGCGCTCTTCCAGCTGTAGTGGTCCTGGCAAGCGAGAACAACAAAAAGGACCCTTCCTCCCCAACCATGCTCCAGACTCAAATGCACAATGCTTCACAGACCAGGCTCAGGCCTTCAAATGAAGAGGCGTCCAAGCTGGCGCCCACGAAAGGCGGCTTTGGACTGCATTGGAATAATCAGCAAAGCAATCCTCAGGTTCAGCAGCTTCGGGGTGACGTGTCCATGCTACCATCAAAAGCATGGAACCCCATTTGAAACACCACCAAAGGGCAGCAGTCCTTACATCTCTCCCTGAGGCTCGCTTGTTTGCAAATGTGACTTCCATCTCATGGGCAACTCGTCTCTGAAAGACAGATCGCTCACCCTCCGCGAGTAAAGCACATCCCCCACCAAGGGAGCAAACTCGCGCCAACCACTGGCGGAGAATCGAGATGTGGATTCGCGTGTACTAAGACTAAGATAGACTGAGAACACTGAGGGCAGGACCATGACCCCAATGTCAACCAGCTCGTCCAGTATGCTACAAGCCTGAGTTGCATGATCTGGCAACAGCACAACATCGTACAAGCAGGCAGCTAGACTACTCTGGTAGTCTCTGGATTTTTTGTGGTGCAGTCTGGTCATGGCCATGTTCTTGACATCCTTCGAATTTTCCCGATAAACCGCTACTGACAAGAATGCTTCCCAGCACGAGCACTGAGGCAGGACGAAAGACCTCTGAGCACTGCACTTGGCTGTACTGGACACGAACCTGCCTCATGCGGATTGTGCCGATGAGCACCGAGGTTTGGGTGTCCCCCACCTCGGCCAGAAGTTATCCAAGGCACCAGCCCCTTGCAGAAACACCTCCTGCAGAGATGTGCCTTGCGATGTGCCAAGAAGCCCGAAACAAAGGGCCTTTGCACTAGGTCTGCGACATAGCGCGGTGTCCAGTGCATCGTACCATCCTGACGATTGGGATGATGCCGTCGCCGTGACACTGACTTCTGCATCAAGGCACGCGATAACGCACATGGCCTGCAAGCGAAAGACCGAGTTTGACCTTGCTGCTTCACTTGAATCCCACCCAGCCCATTCTGAACCACACTCTGTGAAGCTAAAACTGGGCCCCTTGCATTACGACAGAAGGGTATTCGACACGGTCAGTGAAGGCCTGACCATTCCAGCATCCTGCCGGTCCTGTCCCAGCACTGTGACTCTGACCCTGGGCGCCGGACCAGAGGAACAAAGTCATCTGTCAGCCAACCAATGAGAGATGGAATATCCTTCACATCCTGGGAATGATCCATCTGCCATGTGAGTACATCATTGCTCAAACTGGGGACCACACGTTTACCTTGCAATGGCGGGTGGTTGCCTGCAGTAAAATGCAACTGGCAGATTTCAAGCGTTAACAGATGTAGGACATGTGTTTCTACAACAGACCGGCAAACATGTCTATCTTGGTTAAATGTTTGCAAATTCTGTTATGTCTGGAATGTCAAAGAACGCGTCGAACTTGCTTTTGGGCTTGGTGTTTGCAATTTCTTTTGCTTCCCAATCGCATCTGTCGGGTGCCCAACTCCAGCCTGTGCCTGCAAAGCCTAACCACAGAGTGCACAACCCCAGAGTGCACAGCACCCGGCCCAGACCGCAGAATATCCCTGCTGCCTCACCTCAGAGTGTCCGTAGCCCAGCACGTTTCTCAAGGCTAGTCCCAAGCTGAGGTACTTTGGGCAAAGTATTGGGAGTGGAGATCTTAGGTATAAGATGGTGACAAACATTGTCTGAACGATGTCTTTTAAACAGACGCTCCCAAAGAAATTGAAGCAAACGAACCATGCTTACCTGTTGCATGCCTTCTCTTGACAGGTGGCTTGATCTAGACACTTGCAACAAAAAGACACAAGGACCCTGCAAATTACTCAAGAACCACCATCACGGGTCAACCTGCCTGCATGGTGCAGCCGCCCCAGTAATCGAGCTGCTGCCTGCTTGCGTGGGCAATTTGGGGCACTAGAAATCCAGCTATTAAAGTGCCCCATTTGGGTGTTTCTGTGCTATCGCACACAACCCATCAGTTTTGCACGCCAGTTTCGTTGCAGAAAGCGCACGTTGTTTTGGGGAGGTTTAAGTAATCATTGAGCTTTTGGGCACTCCACGGCCTGCGGCTTGAGTACAAATCTCCAGCTTTCTCTGAGATCAAGTAGGTGGTGAGCACGAACAGGAACAGGGCGAAGAACACGCCCTGCATTGTGCACTTGAATTACACGTGTCCATCAATGCTGGGCTGCACCTTCCTGTGTCTAGCTCTGCCGCATGCACGTGTACCCTCAAAATGCGCACTTGACATGCCATAACTTTTTTCACAACCACTGTCACTTCTTCTGCTGCTGGCGCATTTCCGCCATCCGCATTTCACTTCGCTTCTTGGCGATTGATGCTGCCACCTCTCGATTCTCGGAAGCATCAGGGCCATCCGAATCTTTGAAACGTTTGGCTGCCATGGAGAACGCCTTGTCAGCTGTGGTGTGGAACTTCAAGCCATCTCCGCCCAACCAGCCTGCTGCAGAGCCGTCCTCATCGTCTCCTGACAACATTACATGATAGCTGCATCTAGAATTGCTGCCAACGAAAACCATTTGCAAACTAGCAGCCGGCAGCTAGGCATGGCATTTCGAAACATGTGATTACATGCATGTCCTTCCCCTGCTTTCCAGATCTCGTTCATGGTCAAACGTTCATCGGAATCTGGAGCCGAAGCCTTCGCAGCACCGGACTTCTTCTCTTCGTTGGCCGCCATGGCTTTAGCAGTTTCGGCCTCAAGTTCTGCCTTGTGCCGGGTTTCCGATGCAGCCGCTTGCTCGGGCAGCGATGATCCCTTCAAGCGTTCACGAAACGATGCCAAAGTGCTTTTGGCCTCCTTGTTGGAAAGGGGCACCCTTGCAGCTGGAGTCGTTTCTTCTCCTGCCGGCTCTCCTTCCTCGGGCTCGGGCAAACCTAGGATGCTGGCTTTGCTTGGGCCCAGTCCTATCTTTCGGCCTTTCTGCGCTTCTTTCAATTCCTTCTCAGCTTGCCTCTCAGCATTCAGCCGGGCACGCTTTTCATCGGGAGTTTCCTTGTAAATCACTGATGCAGAGCCGTCTTCCACACGGCTGCGCTTGTTGGATCCCAGCTTCTCGTCCAAAAGCGGGTCGCGCTTTGCATTCACACCATGCAGGCGATGGGACACAATGAAGTCGGGCTGTTTTGTCCTTTTGAACATGTTTTTCAGGAACTTGTGTCCCGCAATCTCAACTTTGAGTGTCTGAGCCAACAGCCACCCATGGAACAAGATGGCAAATGAAAAACTGCGTGCAGAAGCATTTGCTCCAGCTGGACATCACACAACCCCACCTCACAAAACATGAGTTTCATCGTCTTGTACTCGAGAGACTTCGTCCGGTATATGTGGCCTGCGGACGGTATGCGCGGAAATCACGTCAACCAGTCCTGCAAGGATTCACTGATGTGTCTGAACCACTGTGGCCCATGCTGCTGTCCATGTGCTCCAGGTACTTCCAGAACCGGACATCCTTAGGTCAAAACAAAAATTCAGCACCTACCCTTCCACGGTTCTCAACCAGGCTCCTGACACCAAGATGCAAATTACTATGTCTCTCCTTCGAAATCCACACATTCTGTGTACAGTGTACAGTGTACACAAGGTGAGAACATCAACGCCGTCCTCTTCCAGCAGCCGGTCCAGGAAGGAGAGGGGACCTTCCTGCACAGACTTCATGTTCAAATTATGCCATGTGACGATGGCCTCCAGCCTCGTCGCTTGCCATACTGCCACCTGCAGGCACCCAACGCAATATGTAAGACCCTTCATACCATGCAACACTGGGAATTCACTAAAGCTTCTTCGCATGCCGCCTTGGGTAAATGGCGGTTGGCTGGCGTAACATGCAATCAATGAGAACGTTAACAGGCTGAGGTATTGAATGTTTGGCTGCTTGCGTGCTATATGAGATCAGAAGAACCGCCTGACGTCACAACGAAAATGCTCATGAGGTTGCTCCGTGGGCAAGCTACAGTGAACAAGATCTTCGCCCCCGTCTAATTGAGCCACCGTGCTTGACGATGTGCACCCGCACATGTGCGGATTCCTCTAACTTAGATGAGCAAGCAGTATGCAAATCTCCTGTTGCGACGCCCAGTACTTGTCATATGGTGGGCTGAGTCCTTGACTTTAAAGCTGCCATCACCGGGGAAGCTTCTGATTCTACACATGTCATTGTTTGTGGGCGCCATGCGAAAGAGTTGTTAGCCATGTTTGTGCCTTGTCATGTGGAAACGCGCATGAAACCTGTCAAAGACCTGTGCCATTACTCCAATCCCTAACTTCTACCAGGAAGAACCTTCACACATGCGCTTTTGATCCCATGCAGAATGCACTTTCTGCTGTGCTTCAGGTTTGCTGGCTGAGTGAGCCGCTGTGGGTCCACACGTGTTTACCCAAATTGCAGGCAGGCACCACGCTTGGTCTACCATCGTCAACCGAGGTCTTCGGCAGACGACATGGCACCTTTCTTCTGCGCATCAGGCTTGCTGTGGAGCATGGGACGCTCAGGCTACCAGACTCGTCAGCCAAGGTCCCAGGCAGACATAGCATGGCCACACACAACAGATACAGCTAGCATGCGGGCAGCGTGTTGGCACAATGTGTCAGTTGCCTGCCGGACATGTCTTCAAGCGTTTCGCCAGTGTCTGCTTCTGGCAGATTGCAACTACCGCCTAGTTGCTTTGAAGAGCTGATGCATGCTTGTTGGCTGCCTTCCGCAGCATCAGGAAAGCCATGCCATGCCGTCTTGCCATGCCCTCACATTCGCCCATTCAGCCTTCTAAGCTTTGGAGATAGCCCTCGCGAAGCCTTGAAGCTCGATGATGTCTACGAGGAGAGGGGGTCGAAAAAGCCCAAACCGCTCCGAAACACCGAGCCTCGGCCTTGCACGCGGCTGTCCAAGCAGGATCCTCCTGCACCTCCGCCGCCGACGACGACGGCTCGGTGTCCAGAAGCTACTGCCGAAAAGGCAAGCGCAAGTCATGGCAGGTTTCACAAGGCTACGGGTACCTTTATGAGTGTCCCTACAATAAGGAAGGAGGATTATGAGATTTTGTGGTCTATAGTGGTACCCACAATTGACGGGAACTACCATGCGACCAGGAAAGAGAGAGCGTTGGGCATTCAAGTCTTGCGCCCCTCGCAGCTGCAAGTACATTGAGCTCTTGAGCTGAGTTCTGTCACTGGGCGAATAGCTAAGGAAGCTGCGCGCAAAGCGGGTTTGAATGACTCAGTTCTGGGGCGATGCGGTTGGCTTGCAATTGGCTTCCATAGTTGGTGTAAGGCATAGCGCAGGGACCCTACACTGGATGAGCTGCGTGAACGGGCCAACCTCCGCATCACTGAACGGGACGTCAGGTCCGGCAGGAACACATCATGTGGGTCACTGTGTACCCGCTGCAATTTCGCACAGTGCTTGGTCATGCATAGGCGAGTTGGAGGGCCAGACGGCCTATAAGTGCTTTCGGCTAGTGCTGAGGCACCAGCAAAGCACTGCCCTCCAAATATGTCAGTCTTTAGTATGCAGGGGCTTTGCGTACTGTGTACGCATGTGTATGCAGCAGGGCTGCGTCTCAAGCATCTGCTTTGACATGCAACTTCAGGGCAGAGGTACAGGCTCCAGGTATCTGCCTCGTCGCTGTAGCGTGTGTCAGTTTGTGGTGCTTCATGACCAGTGTCAAACCCTTCTGGCTACCTTCCGTGCAGGGTGAAAACTGTACAGGCGTTCACTTCCAACAAACCACAGCCCACTATTCTCAGCAGGTAGCCGTAAAACGTGGTCAGGCGAAACCCTCAGCGGGCATTGCAGTGGCGAGGGACAGCAAGAAAATGTGAAGGGCAGCTCGCGGATAGTGTCATCGCTTGACTTGCGACATGACTGGCGAATCCAAGCCTTCGTCGTGTGTGGAGACTTATTGTCATCGTCCTTGTAGAGTACTGCTTTGCGACTCTCACCAGCTGGCTCTCCGTGCTGGAAGTTGCAAATCGAACGCGTGAGCGCGGTCCGTTGGCCAACTGACTGCACGGCTTGCTTCTGAAAGGCACTCCAATCCTGAGCGCCGCTAGGCGGGCATGCCGGCCGTAGGAGTACCCAGCGAATACCCACTTCCACACAGGCCTCTGCGGGGCTTGGCATGGGCATGTGTACAGATATGTATACTGCAGGGCCCACACACACCCCAACGCTCCTGGCAAGCATGTGCTTTCACATGCAACTTGACTGCAGAAGCACAGGCTCTACGTCTCTGCCTCGTCGCTATGGCGTATGTAGCTTGCGGGGCTTCATGACCAACGTCAAAACCTTCTGCCTACCTGAAGGCATGGCAGTTTCCAACACACTGTAATGTACAATACTCAGCAGGCACTCTGCTAGCTCCGTCCCAGTAACTGGTCAAGAATGAACTCTTGCCCTTCTGTGCCCCCAGCAGAGTTTGTGCTCAGTCATACTGCCTACGGGTAAGCACTCAAGGCGTAACATAAACAGTTGGGCAAGCAGTCCGCCTGTAACTGCTTGCAGCAGTGCAGAAAACAGGAGCCACAAAAAAACATCCTTTTAAGTAAACTCTGCTAGGATCAGGTCATTTTTGTTCCTGCAAAGCTAAGCTTGCTTGAAGATGAAGGTGTTGCTGCAAACAATGTGTTTGGGGTTTATGTGCTCATAGAACTGAGGCCCTTCATTGCCAGCCCTGCCGCAAGTTTTGGGTCTGAAGCGCACACACAAAGTCTGCTGCAGCTTAGCGAAACAAAGCCTGTGCCCAAGCAAAGATGCCGGGGCTCCGGCAGGCCGGCTCTGGCATTTGTAACATGAAAGCCTCGACTACACCACTCTTTACGAACCCTTCCCCCGAAATGAGCTTAGCCAAAGTCACAACACTGTCAAAACACTCTTGGCCGCTGCTACTATCCTGCAGACTTGCCTCCGCAACATGCAAAGGCCGTCTTCAAGCTTCTCGTGTTTTGGGGGGTCAAAACCTAAACCTTCGCAAGGCTCGCGCCAGGGCCGTTCTGTGCGGCTTACCGGCGCATCTTCCTACCGGGAAGAAGTCAGGCAGTCCTGCAGACAAGGCAACCACATGTCTAAATCATCAGAAGGGAAAACGCACCTGGGGAGGCCATTCGCGTTTTGAGGGTGCAGGTATGTGTTGAATCTGGCACTGACCCGGATGTGGGAGCGGCCATCGGCAGAGCTTGGGCAGCCTTCAATGCTTGGCGCAGAATCTTGTGATCAAAGAATTAGTTTCTCTCAAAGGCTGGTCGTGCTCCAGCAAAGAGTCGCTTCTACTTTGCTGTGGTCGTGTGCTGCGTGGCCGATCCGCGCATCCATCCTAAGGTCGATCAGTGGGGTACAGACACGCATGGTCACTCTCATGCTTGGTTGGCGATCTGTAGAGACTGATGTGGGAACGGCCATCCGCGCAGCGCCAGCTAGATCTACGCGCAGACCAGGAATCCTTACAATTTAGTTGGTGCGCTGCGCATGCGATGAGTTGTTGGCGCTGTCAATGCTGGCATGCCGCAGCACGAGGAAAGACTTCAGAGGATAGGGACACAGCACAGGTGGTAGCGCGGCGACTTTTTTTTGATGCAGCGGCCGCTGCGAGTGGCGCGGTGGCTTTTTAGGGTGCGGCAGGCGGCGTGCCGGTGGCAAAGGCCTCGGACGGAGGCCATTTAGATTAGAGGCCTGGAGTACGCTATGGAGCAATGGAGTCTGACTTGGCGGAATAGAAGACGTGGAGGCGAATGGAAAGGATGCTGCAGCTGATGCGTTGTCAGTATTGCCGTTCAGTCTTGCAAACTGCGAATCTCAGTTCAACAGACGCTGGCATCTTGAGCCTTTGGTTTAGGCTTGCGTGGCTGTCCTCCGACAATGCCTCATCGCACAAAGCATGCAGCAATGATGCGGCTAAGCCGCTGCAAACCTTGTCTGTGCTCAAATGGGCGATGGGCTGGAAAGCAATGCTGAACTGCGACGGACACGGGCGGTAGCATCACTTGATGCGTGTAGAGACCTGTTGGCACCCTTACCCTGGAAATCCTGCCTTGTGTTTCTCACAAGCTGGAACTATATGCAGGAAAGCTGTAAAAGGCTGCAATACTAAGGAAGACGTGTCCGCACTCCATTGGGCAACCGATTGCGCGTCTTGCTTTTGAACAATGGTGGTCTAAATATGCCTGGACCCAATACCACGCGGAACTGAGCCGCCGGCGGGAATCGGCTTGGTGCCTGTTTCAGAGGCAGCTGAGAAGTGCAAGACATCGCATCACCTCGCTTCAACCACATGCCAAATGTCCGGCACAATGGCTGTGACTTGCCGGCCTCAAGACGTGCCATTTAAGGTGGAGTCCGGAAATAGCTGCTCATGCTCGAGGAGCGTGATCAATACTTGTCACCATGCTTCCTGAGAGCTGCGCGCACCGCGCAGTCTAACATAAAAACATAGTCTCTTGCCGGTCACACTTACAAAACACGCGTGCCTTCTGCGCAGAGCCCTAGTCGCGCATGGCAGCAGGCACATAGAAAGTGCATCACCTTGGGCCAGCAACAACCCTCATCTCAGCCCAAAGATACACAGCAGCCTCTGCTCCTCGGAGCCCAGACACGAAAGCCTAAACTCCACGTATGTACCACGCACCGGGTCCAGGAAGGAATGGATTCCCAAAACAGCAATGCGCAATGCTTACCTGGCGTGGAGAAGTGAGTTGCATCCATCAGTGCAAACACGCGACTGCGA